TTTATAGAACTGCATGAGAGGCCTGGTTGGTTCTTAGATTCAGCTGCAGGTTAGACTGGAACTACTCGCCCTCACAGTGGAGGCTCGTTACTCTTTTTGTTTGCCTGGCTCATGTCACCTGCATGAAGGTGTGAACTGGAGTGGAGCTGACCTGGAATCTGTTTTAATGCTGCATTGTAAGTTTTTGACTGTTGAAATATGAGACCTCCTCCTCTGTTTAAATTTGGACCACCAACATTTTTATTGGACTTTTATGACAGGGCCCATTTTGGGCCCAAAAGTGTTAAGAGGTCAGTCATTTTAAAGGCGCTTCAACGGTTAAATACAAAACAACAGCTGATCCTGTTTTTAGGGGAATATACTTAGATTTAAAATGCAACTTTGACTAATATTTCTGACTGAAACATCCTCCAATCACCATAAAATCTAAAACTAGCAGGAGCTAAAAGTCTCACGGCTGCTCAGGAAGTCGTGGTGCAGTGGACATAAATCACGCCGGGGTTCAGGATGTGAAGGTGGTGGGAAAGACTGAAATACTGAACTTATTGATATTATCGTTTGATGAGTAAAGTACTTTAATGTTAAGTATAAAACTGCAAAGTATAAAACTGTAAGGTATGGGTTGTGTTGTGCAAAATTAGTTTGTGAGTTTTATAAGATAAGTCTCGCCCTGAGAAACTGTGAGACGTTATTTACTCAAACATGTTGACAAGATTCAGGTGACGTTTTCATAAACTTGATAACTTAAACATGAACAGCACAGAAACGTTTAGCTCAGTACCTGAAAACTTTACTTGTTAACAGTTATTTTTGTCTTTGCTAAGGTGTATTAGCCGAGGCAGCCATCTTTATTTGGGTCAAACCAGTTGCAGATGTCCCTCCAACGCTCACTTTGGAGAGTTTCATTAAAATGCATCCACTTGTGTGTTTCATATTTTGCTAACAGACACACAAGGGTTGACCTCAACAACTACCACCAAAGTTTTAAACAGATTTCTTAGCATTCAGAGCATGTTTTGTGGATTATGTTCAGCTACTACAACACCAAGTTCTAGTCTATTATTTTTAGAACTGATTGAGTCGTTCTCATTTTAGTATTTGCAAAGTTTCATTAGCTGCAGCGGCCATCTTAGACTGGGTCGACTCCGATACGTCATCAGTTGTGGGCAAACATCCAATGATTGCTCTCTGAAAGTTTCATTAAAATGCAACCAGTGGTTCATGAGATATTTTGCTAACACAGAGACAAACAAGCAAACAAATATGCAATTTACCACCTTTTGATTGACCTTAATGAGTCTAATTTGTTAGGGCATTGAGCTGTGTGTGCGTGCATGTGTGCATGTACGTACAGCGTTTGTATGGCTCTCAGAGATGAGAACGTCCCCTTGGCGATGGTTTGGAGCTTGTTATCGTACAGCGAGAGCAGGTTGAGGTTATGGAGGTCCTGAAATGCGTCCACGCGCAGACACGCTATCTTATTAGCATTCAGCAACCTGAAACACAAAAGTGACAAAATAAAAAAGAGAGATGTTACAAAATTAATTTTTAGTTATGCTACAAGTCTGTCAAATCATCAGGGCAGTGATAACGACTTTCAGTCAAAATGTCTCCTCTACGGGTATAAAGTTCGAGCTCAGCACTCTTTAGATGAATATCCATGAGATGCAGATGTGAGGCTTTAGCCACAGCTAACGTGTGTGTGTGTGTGTGTGTGTGTGTGTGCACTCACAATAGCTGCAGCGAAAACAGCCCCTCAAACAGCCCTTTGGAAATCTCGGTGATCTTGTTCCCATACAGAACCCTGCAGACAACAGACACTACCTTCATCAGGCGTGAGTTCGATCGCACACTTTTATCCTCAAACACATTAACACTCAATTTGACCCGAAACACGCCGTTAGAAAACAGAGAAATGAACATTTGGAGGGTTTTTGTACTCCACATCCCCATCAGAAAGATTGAACTGCTGCCAAAATGTTTTCAAAGCCGTGCTTCAGATTGATCAGTTTATTACCCACAAATGGTAGTTTAGACATGAATATTTGATTTGATGTTGACTGCAGTTCTCCACCAACATCTGTCACATTTTTATATTTCTTTAAAGAAGCTTTCATGTTCTTGTATTAATTAAACTGAATTTACTGTAATTTGCACTTCACTGTCTGCAGGTGATAACATTATTAAACACTAGGGGCTTAATTCAAGGTTTGGTACACATGATGGTTTTCAGAAGCAGTGCAGCTGGTAAGAGAGACATATTATAACAATTATTTTTCTACTGGCGTTATCCTTTCCAGAATCAAACACATAAAATAAACCACTCTTTCCCGTTGGAAGAGTCTAAAGAGGTCCTGTCAGTTAGGATTCATCAACAGGCAATTTAACCATAAAAATAACAAAATAAAAACATTTTGATCTTTTTTCATCTAATTTGAATTGCGCATGGTGACCTTAAGATCATGTGTCAAACAAAACTGCAAATTTGAACTGTGAGAGTTTCTTTTGTTAAGAAAATGGGAGAAAAAAATAACTTTTTTGATCCCCAGCTAAGGTAATTTACATGGCATAGCAGCAACAAGAAAACAATAAATTTCAAAACAGACCCCAAAACAAATAAAAAAATACAAACAGGTACATTTTACTTCTCGTGTTTTGAACGTCATTGGACTGTTGTAATAAACAACGATCTTCTGAAAAATGAAAGCAAAATCAACAGTTAAAATAAGAGGAAAGAGTTTATTTAAGTCCATATCTACATTTATATGTACGCAGGAATGAAGAAGAGTCTTTCACAAGAACTTGAACCCCCACATCAGTTAGCCTCTCTGCAGAGTTAGGCTGTGAGTGGCCAGTGTACAGACGGGTTTCTGTCCACATTAGACTTCCTATAGCTGGATGGTGATTCCTCAGAAACACTCTGTGAGGAGCAGATGCTTCATTTATGTCTCACTGACACTTCAGCAAGAGCAGCTAAGTTCATCCACATGTGACCATGCACAGCTGATGGGTCATTTACATCTTTCCACACATGATGAATGCACACGCAGCGTTTCCTTAATGTGTGAGCCTCACTGTTTGCATTGTGTCAGCATGACACACCCATGTGTGTCCCGTTGTGTCTCTGGTGAATATGAATGTGTAATGAGGTGGCAGGAGCCTTCGTTCAGCAACTCAGCATTTACGAATTATTGACTTTTAGAGAGTGGACATTTTAATCCAACTCCTTCATGGAACAGCTCCACATTCCTCCTCAGGCTTTCATCAGCTCCTTTCTCTGTTTTCTTTCACTAATCTTCACATGTAAAGCAGATGATGTGTACATAATTGGACTTATTATAACAGGATTTCTGCTTTGTGGAGTTGGTGGTTACTGGGCATATCGACCAATTCGGAAAACATCGGCAGCTTTTCTGACCATTGTGAAGCTGCCCGGCCTGTGTGAAGGAATGTGCCGTGCTGTCGACACTCAGACTAAAATGCTGTCCGAGCTGAGACGCAAGCAGGACACGATTCTTGCTGAGAATCGCAGGTTACTTGTGGTTCCTGAATCTCGCTGGCGGAAAGTAATAGATCTAGAAGTTGTAAGCTTGACTCGGCGTATGTGACCATAAATTTGGCTGTTTGGCGTCGCCATTAAGACGTAAAAGGCAGATGGAAATTAAAGAGTCGGCCTGACCCAAAACAAATGCTGATATCTGAATCTGCCCCCCTGCGACGGCCTTGGAAGGCTGACAATCTCAAATTCTCCTGGATGTTATGTGAACAAGACACTCTGCTCCCCACTTCCTTACTCCCCTACCCGCTCCCTTCCCCAAGAACATGGACCTGTGTCAGAGCTCTACCAAGCTGGCTGATAAACACTGCACCACCACTTATCAGGACTATGGCTGGAGGGGGGGCAGGCAATCTGGACAGGGTTCACCGACTACTTCCCCTCAAATTCACTGCCTTCGCTGGCCTCCCTCATTTCCCCCCACCCGGTGCAGCAACCTAGGTAGATGCAAAAGCGCCAGTGGTTGCGTCGCTTACTTGGGTAGCATGTACTGGGACCCCCATCCTCACCCACTCCACATGCATATATTTTTATGTCACCAGTATGTTGCTTTTTCTTGTGCTGAGGGTTTTTTTGCAACCTCACACTGTGTCCCATCAAGGACACAGTGTGAGATATGATTTTTTTATACCTCCTCTTTCCTCATGTTTTCCCTTTTTCTTATCTAAACAAAAAGGGCAGCACTTCCCATGAGGCTGCAGCCTCAGGCATCTCCGTCTACTCATGTTGCTTTCTTTGGATGGTTGTACTGAAATGCAATTTGTTGAAACTTGTAATTTGTTGTAACTTGTTGAAATCAGGTCTCTCTTGTAAATGAGTCCTCGAGGCTCAATGGGATCTACCGGTCTAAATAAAGGTTGAATTAATGAATTAATTTAGTTGTGCTTCTGTGCAATGACAATAAAGGTTGATTCTGATTCTGATGTTGCAATCTGAGACTGTCCCAGTCTGTGATTTTTGGTTGTTTGTGACAGTTTTTTATAATTTTGAGCTATTTTTCAGGCCTGCCACGCCCACCTGCACCTGCTCCCTGTCTCACCTGTCACAGCTGCAGCCACTTCTCTTCATTAGAAGAGCCTCCTTAGTTCATCTGTCTATCCATGTTCAGTTGAGCAGTATTGGCGTTCATGCCATGTCTGATCTTCTTTAAAGTAGTTGTGCTCCTTCATGTCTTTACCTTGAGTTGTTTTGGACGTAGCCTTGTGGCCATGAAAACTTTTTGTTTTGCTTTGTTTAGTGCATTTTCATGTTTTTGAGCTCCGCATGTCAGTCTGTATTTCTGGGTTCAAACCAACTAACTGTAACAAACTCAGACACCAGAGGAAGATGAAAAAAGCATGAATGTATACGTTGTATTTTATGGTAATTTGACGTACATTAGTAAAAACATAATGGATCGATCTTTCCTCCATATTAAAAATGTTTGAAAACAAATAACGTCAAACTCAAAAAGACACATGGAATAAAAACCCAAGGTCTATTTGTGACACTAATGCTGTGCTGTATATATTATGCCAAAATGAGCCATGGCAGATCCAAGGAATTGAGGTAAAAATGTTGAAACCCATAAAAAAACTGCTGACGGTAATACATTAATATAATGTAATCAGAGAACAAAGTCAAACTGTTTTATGTGAACTGTCAGTCCTGATTGTGGATGTTTTTCTCAGAGCCCTTATTTCAGAAGAAGCAGTTTGTTCAATAGCATCAAAAAACAAGGACTTCATTCTGTGGTTGCAAAACAAGCCCAAACCATCACCCTTCTACAACCGTGCCTGAAGGGTATGTTTGTGTTGATTTTCATTGTGAAAACCTATCGCTCAATCACAAGTGTGCAGCTGAAACCAGCAGTGACAGGTACAAGTACAAAAGCGTTTCTCCAGATCAAAACTAATTTCAAATGCTCTCAAACACGCCACATTTTAAATCCAATACAAATCCTACATGTGAACCTTCAAACCAAATGTAGACAGAATACTTACAAAGAGTTAAGGGAACGAAGACCTTGGAAGGCGTCCGAGGCCAGTTCTGATATCTGGTTGTTGCTCAAGTCTCTGTGATAAACAAACAACAAAAAAGTGTGAAGGGAAAGAGAAACAGGAAAGAGGGAAGCAGCAGAGAACAAGACAAAGTCGACGGAGAAGAGAAACACCAACAGATCAGCAGCTGGCAGGCTCTACTCACATCCTGCGCAGCTTCTTGTAAGGAGAAAAGGCCCCAGCTGGGATCACCTTGATGGCGTTCTGCTCCAGTCGTCTGGAACCAAATAAACACACATTAAGGGGAGACGGTAACTTTCAAGGTGCTAGATTCAAGGTGACTTTACTGTCATTCGCAACACACATGGTACATGAGGTGGAACGAAACTGTGCACTAAAGGTCCCAGTTATAGCCCAAAATAGCAAAAATATAAAGTATAAAAATAAACAGTATACAAGAATCTAGGATATATGGTAAACATTAATAATGTGATACAGTGTATTAAACAGCAGCCTGACCATGAGTCTGTAGTGAGCAGATGACTATGAATACAGCAGCTTAAAGGCAAGAGATCAGCAGCATGGATAATCAGCAGCACAGATAAAGTGACATATCACCAATTAAAGTGCCATTACAGTGATAATTCTGATTAGAGATTCATGAGACTAATAGCTTCAGGGTAGAAGCTGTTCCTCAGTTTAGTGGTTCTACACTTAATGCTCCTCACGTTTTCCAGGCTGATGGCTGTCACTCAGGGTAGACCCATAAACACCTATTTTTAAAATCTGTTTCTGGAACAAGATGACTTTGATCAAGTGGACAGGCCTTGTGATGTTCTGCTTTGTCTTATTTGTTTGTATCTATTTTAAACCAGCTTCAAATGTTCCTGGTGTTGGGGCAGCTGAGAAAAATCCATTTTAAGTATCAGAATTAAAGTTGAGAAGTTCAGTCCAGGTCAAAATGTTCTCAAGAAAAGAAATCAAAGATTCTTGTGGTTTTATTTTTTCATAGAGGTTGCTCTATTTTTTTATGTATCATTTTGTCCAAACTGTTTTCACTTTGCTGCCGTCTAATAAAACAGTTGCATTAAATGTTACCTCAAACCATCGGCCCAGAACTCCCACCAAGATGCTCATGCAGCGTTTGAATGTGGCCAAAACAATAAAACATAAATAAATGAAATGTCTGTCAATTGACTTCAGGCGTGTTTTAAAATTTGACCAGAGAGTTTGTTTGCATCAGAAGAGCTTTAAACAGAATCACGCAAATGAAGCATTTATAAGCTCATAAAGCCTCGAGACATTACTGAAGGTTATTTAATGCAGAATGCTTCTATTTATATATCTTGGGTTGTAAAAAAACAGAAGTTCTGTAAAACAGGACATTTTGTAAAGTTTTAGCAGGACTAGGGCAAATGTTTGACTCCATGATGTCTCAACTAAAATAATGCAAATAAAGATATTTATGTTCCAAATCAAGGTTTTGGAATTGAAATTATTTGATCAGTTTTCATGATTTCATTCAGATTATTCAATTCTAACCAATACTTTGTGATTTATTTGTTAATCATTCTAGTTTTTAACCTTCCTTTTGTCTTCATGCACATTTTCAGGTATGGCCTTCCTGATGTTTTAAATTAATCTCTGATTTCCGTTTTTTTTTTTTTTTTTGTCCTCATTCCTCTCTTATTTACTTTAGCAGGAAGGCGCTGCATGAGCAAGCTTTCTCATTTCACAGACGTGCGCCTTTATTTCGCTACACGAGTAAAAAGAAAAAGAAAAGAGGAAGTGAAACAGAGCGATAAAGACAAAGAAAGGAAATTTAAAAAGAGCAGGAGAAATATCACCGCACCGGCTCTGGATGCAGGAGTGTGTGTGTGTGTGTGTGTGTGTGTGTGTGTGTGTGTGAATACAATGTAAATCAACTGTGCGTGCACGTTTATGTGCATGTCTTACATCTCTGTGATGGTTTCAGGCAGGTTGGTGGGGATTTCTGTCAGACCCTTTCCTCTGCAGTCCACGATGTTGTTGCTGCAGGTGCAGGACTCTGGACACTGTAACACACTGCAGGAGGAAGATGATGATGACTGGTGACCTGCACAGACACAGGGAACCACTATTATCCACTCATAATTATGGATTATTATGCTGGCGTTAATCTCAAATGGCAACGGATGTGAAATAAATCAAATTAAAAACGGCTGATCATAGCAAGCGAAGGTTAAATCTCGTTCTTGTACAGTTCTGGGATTTTTAAAAAGTGCACCATCTTTCATGGCCTAATACAAAAGTCTTTACCAGGTTCTGAAATAATTCAGTTCTAACCTTCAATGTGTAAAAACAGAACAAATCCCACCTCATCATGATTTATTACACAAAACCAGAATGTCCAAAGATGTGTGATAAACCAGGTCCTCTCCTTGATTCAGACCCATCTTTAGCAGCAACAACTTTATCTGGCTCTCTCATGATTGTGTAGGAATTATGTCCCACTCTTCTTTACGACGTCCTTCACTTCATTGATGTTTGCAGATGTTAGTTTCCTATCAGCTCTCTGAAGGTCCCACCTCAGCCTTTTAGTCGAGCTGAGCTTCTGGACTCACTGGATTGTTGCTTCACCTCCATGCTTTTCTGATTCGGCCGCTCTGGTTCGCTGCTGTGTCTGGGATCATCGTTCTGTTTCATCCTGACCTGGTTTGATCCAAACTTCAGTTGGTCCCAGTCCACCGAGGAGTTCATGATGGACTCGAGAATCGCAGGTGCTCAGGTCCTGTGGCTTTAAAACCAGCCCAGATTATCACCCCTCCACCTCCGTGCTGACAGTTGAGATGTTGTCTTTGTGCTGACATGCTGCGTTTGGTTTTCACCAAGTTTACAGCAGTGCATTATGGGTAAACATGTCTCCTTTGGTCTCGTCTGTCCACAGGACATTGATCCAGAAGTCTTGTGGTTCATTTAACTTTACAAACCTTCATTTTCTTCAGAGACTTTCTCCTGGAAACTCTTTCTAACTTATTTAGTATTTTTCTAAATGTCCTGTGATGAACTTTAACCTACAACCTGCAAACAGACGCTTGTGGAGCTCTTGGGTTTGCTGTCCTTCTGAGCGTTGCACAGTCTGCCTTAGGGGTGAATTTGCTACTATGTCTAGTCCTATGAGAATTGGCAGATGTTTTAAATGTATTCCACTGCAGAATGATGAACTCCAAATTATTTAAAATATACAATTAATTCTTTCTGCCCTGTGATGGACTTGCGACCGGTCCAGGGTGTACCCCGACCCTCGCACTGTGATTGCTGGACATGGGCACCAGCGACCCCCATGACCCAAAATAGAAGAAGAGGGTAAAGATAATGGATGGATGGATTTAACCCTTTCTTCCAATGACTGACACCAGTAGTTGCTTCTCTAAGGTCATTGCTATGTCTTTTCTTCTTGACATTGTGTCAACATATGTAAATGCTACAGACCAACAAACGGACACAACTCTTATGCTCATGGTTGCGATCGCATGATGGTGGTCAGGTAATTAAGTGTTTGGTCAACAGAACCTGGCCGCTACTTTTCCTATTAAACCTTATAGATGCAGCGCAGGTTTGACAGTTCAGGCTTTGTTCATGTTAATAAATAAAGTCACGATGGAATCGCATGTTATATTTAAAAGGATGTAGAACCTTGTAAAGAGCTGCCATTTATTTTATATTGCTTTATTACAAAAAAACTACAGTTGATGGAGGAGGGCCTTTATTCCATCATTGTATGCGTCTTTGTTAGACAGAGCTGTAAGTTTTATTCGTGGAGTTAAAGATACAGAGGAAGACAAATACTTACTTTCATCTCCATCTTGATAAGCATGATCAAGAGACAAGAAGAAGCACAGAAAACCAAACGGTTGTTTGCTGTTGTCAACAAGCAAACGCAAGAAGCTCATCACAAAACCAACAGCAGCGCAGCCGACCTACCTGCACACACAAACTCCTTTTTCTGCGCCTCAGCCACATTGTGCCCCCTCAAGTGTGGCGGGGCCATGCATTGTGTGTAGAGACCCAAGCGGGGGCGCTGCCGCAGCCACTCGGACAGCCAGGCTACGTGGCAGTCGCACTGCAGGTTGTTGGAGTGTAGGCGGCTGTGCAAGGGGTGGAGGAGAGGGAGGTGAGTGGAGGTCAATCAGGTATAATAAACTGGCACAGATGAGCGGGCTCTGTTCCACTGCAGGCCAAATGTGATGTGGCGCCACTTACAAGGTCCTGAGCTTCGGCATGTGGTTGAAGCTGGCCACAGACAGTCGGCTGATGTTGTTATTGTTCAGGGTGCTGAGGAGAAAAGAGAAGAATAAAAACATTTAAATTCTGCAACATTCTTTATTGTAATGCAAAATAAAGCGACTGAAGGTTAGATAAGAAACAAAATGCAGATGGTAAAACAACCTGGTGATGCAAATGTTTGCTCAAGTGTTTTACTCGGACTACAGTAACTTTCTTAATAAAAATAGGCCCAGCCTTTCAGCTATCACCTGCCCATTACCTGCACATGCTCACCTTTACCTCCAGTCAAACAGTAAAGTTACTCCACAGTTTGAATTTCTTACATCAATGATTGAGATGATTCCAGGACTAAATTTAGATTTTGTTCCTTGTTGTTCTATCATCTAAGTTTTGCTGTTCCTTTTGTCACACCTGCCCCGGTGTCACACCTGTTGTGCTTTGTTGTCTCATTGTCAGGCTCTTGTGTTGTCATGGTAGTCGTCTGGTGCATTTTACAATTAAAAAAATTATCTTCATCACCAGTAAGTTGCGTTGCGTGTTTGCATTCAGGTCCTAAAGCTTATTCCTTTCCTGGTATTGTGACATCATTTGTGCAAATAAATCCCAAATCTGCTTTAACCTAATTATTTTCACTTGCCGTAGACGGCGACAGGGGATATTGTTTCATAAAATCTAACGAACCAGCGGGTGGATTTTAACTATGCTACCAGGAAGTAATTATTAAACATCCAATTAACTTTAGGACTCAGCCCCATTTCAGGCCCTGTTTACACGACAAGGATCCAATGAAAACATAGTTTTTTCCATTTCTATTAACACGTTTACATGAAAACGCTCTAATTACAATCTCTGTTTCACAGAAACAGAAGTGGAAAAGGTGTCATTCCCTCAGCACGCCACTAGTTGGTGCCATGTTCTTTGAAACTTGAAAGTCTAAGTGCGCATGGGTTAAAAAAAGTTCTACCTGAAAGCCGCTACAAAGGTCGAGATGTCAGTGAATAAAATATTCTATGGACAGACAATGAGGTTCAACTGTTGCACAAAAAATACTACAAACAATACTCTGGTATTCGCCGTTGTTGATAGTTTCTTCTTCTGTGGATTGTAGGAAGTCGTTATGTTTTGCGTCATACTGCACATGAGCCACGGATTCCCTGACAGAAAGGATCTATTTTTTCTGTTTACACAATGGACACCAGGTCGTTTTTGAACCATTGCACTCTGGGAACCGTTCTCAAATTGTGCCGTTGTTAGAGAAAACATTAGCTGTTTTTGTGTAAATGAACAGAAGAAATGCAACGAAACGCTTCTATTGTCACCAGAAATCATTTTCGGGTAAACAGGACCTAAGAAAGCCGCCACAGCAGTGCCACCATAGTAAATACAGAATGACTATAACTCAGCAAACTATAGAAATATAGACCTATATTTTGGTGTGATAGTAGCTGAGACTCATGCTGAACACATATCGTATTTTCCGCTGTACACATCGCTCCGCCCTATAAGTCGCATCAGTCCAAATATGACTAATGAAGTGGAAAAATCCATAAATATGTTGCTTCGCCATATACGGCGCATCTATTATGCGTCACCTCTGGCGCATTGCATTTGTTACGCATCGCTGCTGACAACCCGGTAATGTGGGCCGAACCCAGAAATGTGGGCCGGTGTTGTGCCAAAAATCAATTTGCTGCCAAATGGCGGCCGTGAGAGCACGCACGGGAGGACTTTAACAAGAATTTAACAAGATTAACACTTAAAAACAATTATTTGTTTGCTCAAAATTATAGTAAAGATGTGTCCCAGTCTAACTTTTCCTTAATAAATTCAGTTTAATGGTAAAATCTGCTGTATTTCAAAAGTATTTGCTGCCTTGGTGCTCTGGGAGCGCGCTCTGAGGGAGGAAATCAGGAAGGAGGAACGCTGCGCATTTCTTCGAAATTTCACAAGATAAGCACCTAAAACAATTGTTCGTTTGTTCGACATTATAGTAAAGGTGTGTCTCAGTTGAACTTTTACTTAATAAATGCACTTCAATGGTCAAATAAGCTGCATTTTGAAGGGGCGGTGCAGCGAAATGAAGCTGATTTGACAAGTGAGCAGGACAAAGGTGGCAGTCTATGGCAAGCTGATTGTGTCATTAATACCGGTAACCACTTTTACCCATTACATGATACAATGGCATGCCACACTACTCGAGTGCCATCTAGCAGCTGAAAATGGTAGTGTTCAATATTTTCAGTCAGATTGAATGAAAACGGTCATATCGCAGCCAAAAATTGGTTTATAAATATGGAAAAAAAATCCATAAATACGTCACTTGGGTCTATAAATCGCAGGGCATGCAAATTATGCAAAAAACTGCGACTTATAGGCCGAAAAATACGGTACTCTAAGTGCGACTATAGGCTCTTGAAACATCATTGGAGACTGAACATATCATAATTTACAAGGTTTGACTAAAATGACTTTAACGCCATCCCTTCTAATCATAAGATGATCTTAGACTAAAACACTAATATTTAAAGTGGTACGCAATAAAGATTCATTCAAGGAATGCTAAGATGTAAAATTTAATCTCTGTAATCTTCAAATTTCCTCCAAAGATTTTACTGTAAAGTTACAGAATGAATAAGAAATGTTGAGAAAAGGCCAAATTTTGCTGCAAGCTTGTCTTCTAACTTATATATAATATAAAACACATGCTAACAGGCGTAAAGAACCACCCAGGAATGCCGATCCCAAAACTGTAGCAAAGAGCCCCTTCCAGGACCTGTGGATCTAATGCAGCATTTGAAAGGTCAACTGGGATATTAGCTGTTCCATATTCCTCTGCTATTAGAGCTCCTGGTGTAAAAATAATAAAATGAAACTGCTAATGTTCATGGAGGGACTGAATAATCAGGTACTCACAGTACTTCCAGGTCACGTAACGCTCTGAAAGCTCCGTCTTCAATGCAGCTGATGTGGTTGTAGTCTAACTGGCTGCACACACACACACACACACACACACACACACAAAGACAAAAAGAAGCTGACAATATATCTTCATCAAAATGTAGAGGCAAAGAGGTGCATGTCGAGATGAAAATGCATCAGCAGACTGTCTCTGTCTCCATCAGACTGTCTGCCTCTGTCTGAGTCCTTCTTGTTCTTCATGCAGCTCTTTACGTTGTCTCTTTATTCCTTCATGTTTCCTGCTCTCTTTAATCTGACATTTAATTTACCTCTCTCCTCATTCTCTCACTCCTGAAACTCTTTCTCCCAGCGCTTCTGCTGAAACAATTTCATTAAGATGTAAGGACTGTAAAATATGTGCTGTCATTCTGCAGCACGCACGCGCACATAATTCCCTGTCCTTTTACAGTAATTGCACGGCATTTATATAAACAAAACAAAAGTACCGGCTGTGGAACACACCCAGGGAAGAGTGAATTCGTTAATAAGTCATTATTTATAGAATTACCGCTGGGCAAATGCTCTGCTGATGAAATGACCAACAATTACTCTGACTGTGAGGGAAGTGAAACAAAACAGAAAACAACAAAATGCCACTGATGTCACACACACACACACACACACACACACACACACACACACACGCACACACACACACACACACACACACACACACACACACTGCTAACAAGCAGCAGGTGCAATCAATACGGCGAGCAGGAGGCACATGACATTTAACACAATGAAATATGGATGTGCAGACGTTGAGCGCTGTGCACATTAGCAGACATGTCGGAAAGTAAAAGTCATAAGCATGCTCACAAACTACACACACATGCAGAGACAGAGCTGCTGCTGGACAGCCACTTACAGGTTTTTGATTTCCACAGCTCCCCTGAAGGCTTTCCTCGGAACCCCCTGGATCTGGTTTTCACTCAGGTCACTGGACAGAGACAAATAAAAACAGAGAAGAAATGATTTGGAGTGCGTGAGAGGAACGTCCAGAGCAACAAAACTAACGCTCCTCAATCAGGTGTCTCGCTCATCTCTCAGTAACTGGATCAAGTGTCCTCAGTTAGGGGGGGGGGGGGTTTAAATGCAGCACCTACCTGCAGGGGGCACTGGTGGCCCTCACAGGTTTTGTCCTGCTCTCATCATGCTTCAGCACCCCCCCACCCCCAACACACACACACACACACACACATCACCTTCCTTCCCTTCTGGCTTTTAAGGAGTAAGTGATGGATGCGAGTGACTATGAGCGTTGGGGTTTAAAGAGATTTAAATTTTAGCCACTTTAACTAAGCTGAAGCTTTCATGACCCACCCCCACCCCCCCTACACACACACTCTTACGTATTATTAATACACTCAAACATGAGAACAGGTGCTTGAAAATTATCTGCCAGGTAAAACACAAGCAAGTAGAGCAACTTGTCAGAGTCAAGGACAAACGTAGGTGCTGAATGACCCCCACCCCCCCCACACACACACACACGAGATGAGAATATATTATTCTGTCAGAGACAGATCACAGCATGACATGAAGACAACAAAAACAGTGATGTTATTGTTGTAAAGTCAAACACCTGGAACTAGACTGAGTTCTGACTCTATTCCAGACAGACTACATGACCTTTCACCTTTGACATTCCGGCTCTTGACCTCCGACTCTGACCTCCACAATGCTAATCGGCTAACAGCTAATACTCATCCACATTCCTCAGATTCCTGCAGTTCAGATCCTGTAGTCAGGCATCATTCATCTTCCCTGCCTGCACCTGCTGCTCCTAAACTACAGCCAATGTGACAATTATATATATACATATATATATATATA